GAACCGACCTGTGCAAGACCTAATATTCATTCCATCCCAAATTCACGGCAACAATACATATTGTTTTAAAGTTAAAGACATCAATATCATGTACAACATATGTTTTCACTTCCTATTCATTAAAGCATACCAATATGATTCCAAGTTTACATCAAACCATCATTAAGTATTACATTCACAGTACATAACCATGCTTTACAAAATGAATACATTCTTAAAATAGGGCTCTACAAAAGAATGGGTACAAGTGCACAAAAGATATCAAAAAGGATCTCCAAATCTTTAAACTAAGTTTATGGTGGACCGTCATCCGCCACTTCTTTCCCGAGTCCTAAAAAATGTTAAAGTAATGGGGTGAGCTAGACGCTCAGTAGGAAGTGTCTAAGACACACTTCTTATGTCCCCGTGAATCCATACAATTAATAGAGTGTGAAGGAGTATGATCATGCCAATTTTCAGGGGAAATACAACACTGATGTCATTAGCAATAACTTAAATTACGAATAAAACATGCCATGCTAAAGAATACAATTCATGTGATGTCTCTCCCCAATTCCCAAAATAATTCCGTTACGCAATTCCAAATCATCAATACAACCCGACCCATAGCACCTCTATGGCATCACGAGGAGAAAGTTGGCTAGCAATCCTCGACCACATGTCACCTCCATGGCGTTGTCTGGGCCTAGGTAGCTCAACTTCTCACTAGATTACATTAACACCACGGACCACTAGGCGCCTCCTAAGCGTCAGATTTTTGCAACATTTTTCGAAATATTTTTCCCTTTTTCCTTTCCCAATGGATGCATGAATGCCTCATGCTTCTAATTGTTAATTCAACTATAGAATGTCATACATGCTTTGCAAGTTAAATTTCTAAAACAAGTAATTCATGCTTTCATTCAACATTCATTTAGCATATTAAGCATACAAAGTGCAATTTCCATTTCTCATATGCATACTTTTACATAATTTATCAACTAACACATTGGCACATATTTTCCATATACAACACATAAGCAATTTGCAAGGATTCAAGCTAATTAAGCATGCAAATCAACAATTTGTAGAAATTTAACTCACAAAAGCATAAGAAAACATGTATTAGAAACCCCTACCTCTAATTTGAAAAAAAGCCCCAATTCACCCCAAACCCTAGAATTTGAGATCCCCAAAATGATGGCTAAATGGAGATTGGTTTCGATCAAAACGTAGATCTCGGCTTGCTCTTTAATTTGCCGCAAACGGCATTAAAAATCTCCCAATGGTTTGAGAGAAATCGAGATTTGAAGCTTGCATAAAAAGAGAAAAGAAAAATGGGAGTATAGAAAGAGAGGGGGCGTGAGATAAAGAGAGAAACTTGAGACCAATAATGGTCTCTTGACCATTTAAAAGAAGGAAAAGTGGTGGTGGGTCGCTCCAAATTAAAATATCTTTCTTTTTATTTTATTTCCTCCACAAATAATTATATGCACACAACTATATTATAACCACATAAAACACATTAAATAAAATGCATATGATGCAAATTGACCTAACCATAACTCCAGTACATGACAATTCCGGTAGTGGGTCCCACGCGGGACTTTCTAGTCCGAAAAACTGAAAAATGTCAAAATGACAACCATTGCATTTCTAAGAGTCCCGAACTCAATGAAACGCCCCAACCCACTCTCGGACACAACCGACATACCCCATAATGTCTGGCACGTAAAACGAGAGAAGACGAAAATGTCCTTACGTAAACGAAAAATTCCAGAAAAATGGAAAATGACGAAATTCAGAAATATCACAGCTTTGGATCAGTTGGTGTAAGACACATCTTATAAAGTTAAGGAACTTTTGGACACTAAGTATCCCTCACTCATGCTCTTAGAGCTGGAGGAAGATTTTACAGCTAAGACACCCTGCAAGGCAGCTTATCAGGCACATAATTGGCAATGGTGTGGGCACTTACTTCTGGTGGGATAACTGCGCTTCAGGTGGTCCACTTTGCTCAAGATTTGATATCAACCTACTCATTGATGCTGATGCTGGAATCAATATAGACTCCAGAGTAAGCTATTTCATTTTGGGATCATTTTGGTCCTTTCCCAACCACATTCTAGCTGCAATCCCAGAATTGGGCCTTCTATCATCCCCACACCCATCTAGGAATGATAAAATGGTCTAGATAGTATCTCCAAATAAAAGATACAACTTGAAGCACACAGCATTCCATCTATCAGAGCACTCTCCACCAGTGGTATGGCACAATCTGGTATGGCATTCTCGCACCATTCCTAGGATGAAATTCAATTTATGGCTTGCGGTTCAATCTCGACTTCCTACACTCGACTACAAATCTATGGCACACCATAACAACATATGCTCATTTTGCCACATATCCAGTGAATCTCACAACCACTTATTTTTTAACTGTTTTTTCATCTCGCCAATTTGGAGATTCATCAAAGGAAAATGCAAATTCTATACCTCATTATCATCTTGGGAGGATTTAATTCAATGGGTAAGCATTCACTGGAAGAGAAATACTACTACTAACCTGGTTCGGAAGATATGTCTCTCCTTCATGGTATACCATACGTGGGAAGAACGGAATGAAATGATCTTCAAAGGGAAGGAATCCTCTCAAAGAACAGTCCTAGCCAAGATCAATTACTCCATTACTTCGATTCTGAAATTGGGATTCCTCAATGATTGCCACTCCTCCAGAAGTATTCTGATTAATTGGAATCTTTCACCCTCTTGCTGCCATCATCCTCCAAGACCGCCAGACTAATCTCGCGCCGGTCATCCTCTATTAGGGCTACCATTGGACTGTGCGCTAACTTCCTCCATTAACGGCTAACAAGGCCGTTAATTGCAATTATTAGCTTGAATTTTGATCCTGGACTGTTCCCAAGTTTAGGCCTATTTTTGGGATTTTTTGTTGTCCCAATTTTTGGGCTGTACTTAGCCAAATGGCCCACATTGTAATTACCCTTTACATATATTTCAGTTGCTTGAAATTTTGAAAAAAAAAAATTATAAGTCTAGTCAGTGGGATGATGGTGGTTTGAATAGAAACCCTTATAATTAACATTAATGTTCCAATCACTCCGTGGTTGACCAGATGAATGTATTCAATGCTTGAGTTTAATAATTAGCATTACCTGTCACCAAGAAGAGCATTGCAGGAAGGGGGTGATTCGACCCCTTAGGCGTTTATGGAAATGAAGACGTACCTATAAGCAAGGACTAGATCCCCTCGAGGACCTTTGAGTAATACCCAAAAAAAACCTAGGACTATAAATACGAGCTCCAAGGCAAGTATTAAGGGAGAATAGATATCCACATTAACTCTTACAACTACAAACATATGTTATAGAGACAAGCATCAGCACCTTCACCATAAATTCATTAACTAGTCTACTCCTTCTTCTTCTTTATCCTGATTATTTATCTAAATCCCTCATATTTATGATGTGATATCTCCATTTATCACGATCATCTAGTGCTCCAGTAAAGAACTACTACAAAAATTTAGCAGCAAAAAAAATCTTTAAACCATTCAAAATCGCTCTCCCAACCAAGCTGGATAGTGTCTTATCATAAAGCTCAACAGCCAGTGTGGATTTCAACAAAATAAATATTTAACAATTTTGAAATTAGATGTGATAAATATTATTAGAATTACAACTTTGGTTAATTTAAGATATAGTTGTTAAAATTTGTCAGCGTAATTTTTGACTATATAAATTCTAAAGAAAAGTCCTTTGTAATTCAATTAACTACAAAAAGAAAAAATAAATTATGAAATGTATTTTCATGAACAGACAATACTTAATATTACATTTTTTATTTTATAATTAGGAACTATGTGTGAAATTTGTGATTGGCACCTATTCACCCGATTTGAGAAATAAATAAAATTAAAAGAAAAAAAAAATAAGGGTAAAGTGCATTAAACCCTCTTGAACTATTGGTCATTTGCAAAAAAAACCCCCTGAACTACAAAAATCCCTCCTAAACTATGATTTTGTTGCAATTTACTCCCTTGAACTATTGGTCATTTGCAAGAGACCCCCCTGAACTACAAAAAACCCCCCTGAACTATGATTTTGTTGCAATTTACCCCCATGACATCAGCTTTCGGCACCGAAAATTTTGAAAGACCAGTTTACCCTTATAACACATTGCGTCGTTTTAACTTATACACTTCTTACATTTTTTTTTTCTACCAAAAGATGTTTTTCATCCAACACAACCCAAAACAGAGAGCTGGAGAGAGAGAGAGAAGAGACCAAAGAAATCTGAGGTCGGCAGGATGGCTCGGTCTCGGATGATGGCGGCTTGTGCGCAGAGGACTCGGTTGTGATGAGAGCTCAGTTGACTCAGCCGTGAACTGTGGAGACGGCAGCGAGCTCAATGGGGCTCGGCGGTGAACTGTGGATGACTATGTGCTCGAAACACGGATGGCGGTGTGCTCGGTTATGGAGATGGTGGAATGGGCCGGCGAGCTTGGAATGGACGGTGGAATGGACCGGCGACCAAGGTGAGCTAAATGGCGGGCAAGGCGGTGATAGCGATGGGCTGACGCAACGGTGCAGAGAAATGCGATATATAGGTCGACGGATCTGACGGGTGGTGCAACGACTATGATGGAGCTATGACTAGAGACCCACCGATCCCAGCAACAGATTCCTTGGCTTATCCAAACACTCCTTAGATGACATCTACCAAATTGATCTAAGCCACAAATTCCTCGGCTTCATTGTCCCTTTCAGTCAATCAATTCGCGTGGATGGGGTAAACTGCAAAAAAATATATAATTCAGGGGGGTTTCTTGCACATAACCTAATAATTCAGGGGGGTTTCTTGCACATATTCCAATAGTTTAGGGAGATTTTTTGTAACTTTTATAGTTCAAGGGGTTTTTTGCACATACCCAATACTTCATGGGGTTTAATGCACTTTACCCAAATAATAATAATAATAAAACCGCAACTAATCCGCGACGATTGACCAACGGCGCACAGACCCATCCACTCAGCCAGAGATGTCTCAACTGTTGAACCTCTATCTCTTCGCTTACAATTCCCTTCAGGCCTTTGGATGGTACTCCAAATCCTTCAATCTCTCTCTCTAACACAATCATCGCTCTCTCTCTCTCTCTCTAACCTTCTGTGTACCCATTTGCAGGGCAATTTCTCTCTTTAGAATTATAAGCAACTTCGTTTCCACCAAATCTTTTGATGGCGCTTACTCTTCTGCCGGAGAGCTAATCTGTAAGTAATCCATATACACACACAGTATTCACACACACACATATGTAATTTTCATCTGAATCTCTCAATTCAAACTCTATCACATTCCCTAATGTGTGTACTAAATGTTCTGCTTTGATTGATGCGAAGCTTTGTTACAAACTGTTGCATTCTTGGAAGTTTTACATGGAGCCATAGGTTGGTATTCTGAGGTTTAATTTGATATTTTATGTCTTGACATTCCAAAAAACCATACAATTTTGGGTCTAAATTTAAATTTTCATCAATGTTTGCCCTTTGAATTTTGAGGTATTGTTCCGAGTGGAGCTCTGGTTCCTCTGATGCAATGGGGAGGAAGGACCCATTTCTTGTTGGCAATTGTCAATCGCATCGAAGAGGTTCTTATTATCCCTTTACAACTCTTATGGTCTCATTTAGGCGTTAGCAGTGATATTATGAAATTATGGAATCATATATTCGTTGTTAAATGTCAATGCACAAACAGTTATGATTAACTTTGATTTGCAATGAGAGTGAGAATAGGGGAAATAACAAATGCATTACATGACGGTCTCTAGGGTTTCATACACAAGTGAGAGTAGATCTATTATGAAAACAAATTTATTGATACCTATCTGTAATGCGAATTATGGTTCAATGTAATAACAATCATTGTATTTATTGTTGTAGGTGCAAGAGCTACCATCAGTATTCATTGCTTTTGTTGCATGGTGCCTAATTGAGGTGGGTCAGCTTTTATGTTAGGTTCTGTTTGATATAACTGAAAATTGAGTGCTGGTTTTTATTTTTTAAATTTTTTTTAAGGGATGAAGTTTTAAGCAATAATTGTAAATTGAGAATGTTTTTATTTATTTTTTAATTAAAAGTGTTCGACATTTAGCATAAGTGAAGCCATCATAAAAAATTTACCTCATTTTAAGCGGCACTTCTTCTTTTAAGTGATATTCAGAATGTGTTATCAAACACACTTAATTGGATAAACAGTTAATTCTCAATCCATTTAGAATTAAGTGTTGAATTGGGTACTCTAACAACACCTTAGTTTCTTCGAAAATTGTTTAATCTGCACATTATATATTTTGCTAACCAAAAAGGCTAGGAAGTTGAACTCAATATGTTGGTGGGCTGCGATGAACACATATGCATATTTGTTTGAATGGATTGTGTTGATAGACGTTTCAATCTTTTGTGAAATGTTAGGATGTATTGAATCAAAATTTTGGATGCCTAATAAAATATTGTGCTGCAAATTTTTGTTCCAGTGCAACTTGATTAGCAAATGAGTTGATACTAAGAGGTTGGTTGAAATAAATGTTTAATATATACTCTGCTAATGTATGCTAAATCAACAGAAAACTACAACAATGTCAACAAAGCTTATGCTTGTCTTGGTTGAGGAATGAGTAAATGCTGCAAAACCTTGAATATCTTAAATACTTTGAACAATACATAATAGATGGGTTACTATTAATAAGGATGGACCTAGAGTTGCTTCTAGTTTAATTCAAAAGCTGGGGTGGATTGCTATAATAATGATAGGTCAGCTTCTTCATTTTATGGGGCTTAAATTCTGTGAAATTTCTGAAAAAAAAGTCTTATTTATTGAATTGCAAGAAGGAAGATTATTCTATGCCGTTTGTCAGTTACCTGGTGAAACCAAGTGTACAAGATGGCAGCTAAAATGTTTTTCAAAGATTTTTTTTTTTTTTTTTTTTTTTTTTTTTTTTCCTTTAAATAATTTTAGAGGTAGAGAAAAGTCTACTTTTAAGAACTGGGTTGAAATTGTTCCCATGCTCTTGTCAGAATGAAGAGACAGACATGCATCACCACTTATGATAATGTTCAAAGTTATCATTGTATTGTACTGCTTTCAATTATATGAAGAAACAATTTCATGTGTGTAGGTATAACACAGTATTGCGAGAAATAACCAAAAAAAAAAAAAAAAAGAAAAGAAAAGAAAAAGAAAACAAGAACCCCAAAACTAGGGTTTCGTCCATGGAGTCGCCCAGATTTCACTGTGATGTAAAGCAAATGAATTACAGAGTGTTCAGGATGATAAAACTGCCTCCACTATATTCCTATAGAATTAAGGCTACATAACGAGTGTGAAAATACCAAACTAATCTTACAGTATTAGGACTACATAACAAGTTGGATCCATGAACGCGTGAAAAGGTGTACAGTAATATCGAGCTCCACTGTCCACACTTCGTGACATTATAGGTTATCAAGATCCCCTGTTTCCATGTTTACACATGTTAAGATTATGCGATATAAGCCGAAGTTACAAAAATGAACAATGCTTGCTAACATTATACTTTTTAGTTAAGTGTTGAAGGTACATCCATTTGTAGCCATTTTTAACGCAGACATCTTTCACGAAGTCAGCTTCATCGAAGTCATCCCCTGGAAGGAATATTCAAGTCTGCATATAGAATGACATTCTCGTATCCAATTGGTTGATGAAGAAAGCCAAACAATCCAGTTCATTTTTCATTAAATTTGGGATATTTAGTTTTCATTTTCTATTATTGTTATTGTTGGCCTTTTCATAAATAATTAGAGATATCGACAGTCCCAATACATTATAAAGTGGTGCATATGTTGTGTCTTACCTTTCTATTAATTTATTTTTCAAGTTCAATTTCTCCTTTTGCTTCATGATCTTTAGGGTGTAAGAGAGTCATCTAATCCTGACACCTGGTACAGGTAATCAGATATCCACATTATGCTTTAAATTGCATTGGAAGTTCTCCATCTTTGATTACCTATCTCAGGTTTGATACGCTTTTTATCTTCGTAGACCAACTACACAAACACATCTGCATGCCTACAACCACACTCAAAATATACTACCAAAAAGAGGCTGATTTTCCTTTCTTTCTGTTTGGATATTCTTTTGACTAGGTACACTGCCTTTATTGTGTTGTTTCCAACGGGCTTCACAGGTGAAAGTGAGTCCATAGTTACCATTTATATTCTTTTCAGTTTGTGGTTTTCATAGTGAATATGCGTAGATTAATTTTGCTAGAGATTCTCTCACCTCCTCTCCTTCTCATATTGTTTTTTAACCTTCTATTGTTTTTTTAACCGGTTATAATGTATGTTTTCATAACTGAAGTTGTAATTATTGCTCATTTTCGTGCAGTGTGGCTCATGTACGAAGCACTTCCATTTATAAAAACAAAAAACCTCTATTCCGATTTATTTGATGGCTTCCCTTTCAGCTATTATGATTTTGTTAAGGTATGTATGATATTTCATTTTTGTTTATGAGTAGACTTCAATTCTTCTGAAGAATGGGAACTGCCTTCTTCCTTGCCCCATATGTTGTACCTCCGGCAGTGACGCAGGAGAGTACAGCCCAAGGTTTTAATTTGATTTTTTTCATTCAAAAATTCTACTTTGTGAGTTCATCAAAGTTAACATGAGTTTAAAGCCGACACACTGTGTTTAATTGCATAGCCTTTGGCACATTACCATGCTTTTTAGTATATTCATCTAGGATTAATATTTGTATAATACATATGAATGGAAAGTGTACCGATCGAATAATGTCACACAGGCAACCTATCCAACTTGCTCATATCAGGACAGTGTATTGATATCAAAATCAGGAAGATACGGTCTGGATCAACCCATATTGTATGTTCCATACCCCATTGTAATCCCTAAACTTGGTTGGACCTAGGTCACTCAAGAAAAATTGAGCCTTGTGATATTCTTTGTGAAAGCTAAAAACCATATAGTCGAACCTCTACTTTTTTGGCTGAACTTACAGATTTTTTGGATCAACATGGGTTTGAAATGATTATTCTTTTAAATGTTGGACCTTTCATGGTACATCCACCACTATTAGGTTCTTTGTCAAATATCTGCAATCATGTATTATGTTTTTGTCCTATGTTTTCCTTCAGAAGATGGGTCTGGTTTTCATGGTTGAAACAGTCAATCCTGCAGATGACATTTCTTTATTTGCAAATGATGCATGTGTTTCCTATATTAAAATTTATCTATCTTCTTTTTAAGTTTATCCTACATGCGTTTTCATTCTTCAAATCAGGTTCTGCTTCTCTGCTACCCGTTTCTATGGTTGAAGCTTTACCTGCATATGTTTAAGCAAAGAAAGTCCAAACTGAGTAAACAGCATACGAAGAAGAAGAAAAACTGACGGTTCAAGTTCTGTCAGTTATCACTCATTTATTTTTACGAGGTAAGTTTCAGCATATGACCTCAGACATCTGGCTGTATTTGGACAGATCTTAATTATTTTTCGACTGTATATCTTCATTGACCTGCTGCATATAAAGAACAATGATGTCGATGGTGTTAACTAATTCCTGTACGCATTGAACTAAGTTGCTTCTGTGCGTTAATTTGAGGATTATTGAATATGGTGCTCTATCTTGCATCCTTGGTTTCATATTTTCCCAGTCAAATAATTTCAAGTAACATTAACCACATTACTAGCATATGAAATTTACGTTATATTGGTCCCGTCTATGCAATACCCATTATCTGACAATGCCTCATATTTTCACCCTTCACAACCAATACCATTTCTTTTTGCTCTAAATCAGAGAGATCCACAGCAAATTATAAAACAGGAAAACTTTATCTTCATCGAAGTTTCAAAAGATCTCTTTCAAAGATTCAAAGAACTACTGCAGTTCATATACCTTTCATCCCTTTCCTGTCAAGAACAACTTCCTTTTGTTGGCAGTCATGGAAGTATTTATGGAAGAATGATCCTTTTCACCGGGCCCTTGGCCTAGCTTGTATGACTCCACACCTCTAAAGGGGAGGTCGAGGGTTCAAGCTCCAAGTTATGCAAAATGAGTTTGTGCGTTGCTTCTTCTTCTTTTATTTTTTTTTCCTATAGTTTATAATATTCTCGTTCTGCTAAGTTTTGACTTGGAGAGTGATTCCTGTGAATGGTTCTCGGATATTGAACTCATCCTTTGTAAACACAGTCTTCTTGTCCATAGTACCAAAAGAATTCCCCTAGAACATTTGTTTTAAACAATTAATGCTTAATCCTTTGCAGAAAAGCCAGTACCTCATGATTATAATCCCAATTCTTTTTATAATATTTCGAGTTTAGAGCACCTTATAATCAAAGTTTCATGGCGTTGTGGACCATCCATTGATCAGGCGTCACGATGATCTAGAACGGAATAGTCTTCAGGTTAATTAAACCTGATTGGAACTTGATTTATTTCTTTTGAATTATGCTGTCAATAAAGATGACAATGCTTGAGCAATCTCAATTTTGTTCTCTATTCTGTTATTGATTCTGTTTGAGAATTCATTATTGTTCTTTTATCTTCTGGCTTCACAAGAACCTTCAAATGTGTCCTGACATTGACTGAGAATTATGATGGAAATGTGCGAAGTATTATTTTCTTCAAATCTCACGTAGTGATTCAATGGTTGACTTCTCTGCAGGTTTCTTCAACAAGCGAGTATATAATGTGTGGGCAGGTGAACTTCGATGATGCTAAACATTATCTTTTTATTTTTATTTTTTGATAGGTGACATTATATTAATCTCCTAGGCTCCATTGATTAATCTCATCGAAGTTGTAAAAGATCTCTTTCAAAGATTCAAAGAACTACTACAGTTCATATACCTTTCATCCCTTTTCTATCAAGAACAACTTCCTTTTGTTGGCAGTCATGGAAGTATTTATGGAAGAATGATCCTTTTCACCGGCCACTTGGTCTAGGTTGTATCGACTCCACCTCTCCAAAGGGGGGAGGTCGAGGGTTCAAGCTCCAAGTTGGGCAAAATGAGTGTGCGCATTGCTTCTTTTTTTTTTTAATAATATTCTTGTTCTGCTATAGTTTTGACTTGGGGAGTGATTCCTGTGAATGATTCTCAGAGACTGAATTCATCCTTTGTACACGTCCTTGTCCATAGTACAAAAATAATTCCCCTAGAACATTTAGTATTACACAATCAATGCTTAATCCTTTACAGAAAAGCCAGTACCTCAGGATCATAATCCCAATTCTTTTCATAATATTTCGAGTTTAGAGCACCTTATAATCAAAGTTTCATGGCGTTGTGGACCATCCATTGATCAGGCATCGCGATGATCTAGAACGGAATAGTCTTCAGGTTAATTAAACCTGATTGGAACTTGATTGATTTCTTTTGAATTATGCTGACAATAAAGATGACAATGCTTGAGCAATCTCAATTTTGTTCTCTATTCTATTACTGATTCCGTTTGAGAATTCGCAAATGTTCTTTATCTTCTGACTTCACAAGAACCTTCAAATGTGTCCTACATTTAAATTGCACAGGAATTGACTCAGAATTGTGATGGAAATGTGCAAAGTATTATTTTCTTCAAATCTCACATAGTGATTCAATGGTTGACTTCTCTGCAGGTTTCTTCAACGAGCGAATATATAATATGTGGGCAGGTGAACTTCGATGATGCTAAACATTTTCTTTTATTTTTATTTTTTGATAGGTGACATTATATTAAATCTCCTAGGCTCCATTGATTAATCTCGCAGTAGGTAGGTCTTTTGCTTATTTTGTTAACATATATACTTGTGAACTGGACACCAATGAACAATATTCAACAATTGATTCCCAGAGAAAGAAGACAAAGCTCGTATGAATTCACAGTGAACAACATCCAGAAAAACTAAGCAAACGACACATTAACACCCACAACATTTAAACCATAGACCACCCAACTTCCGTGTCTAATTCTTAGAAATCTGTGGTGGGCAGCGGCTCGTGAGTGGGTGGACCAATGAAGATGACTTCATAGATGATGGCAGCGATGGCAGAACCAATGAAGGGGCCGAGCCAGTAGACCCAGTGGTCGTCCCATGACCAGCTGACCACTGCTGGTCCGAAGGACACTGCAGGGTTCATGGAAGCGCCATCGAAGGCACCACCGGCTAAGATGTTGGCACCCACAATGAAACCAATCGCAATGGGAGCAATGATTCCGATGTTACCCTTTTTCGGATCCACAGCTGTTGCGTAAACTGTGTAAACCAGGCCGAAGGTCATCACAATCTCGAAAACAAGCGCATTCCATACCGATACACCAGAGGATAGGGAAAATGCAGCTGTTGACTGCATAAAATTCAAATGAATCAACAACTAAAATTGAGCAATCAACAAACAATATATGCAGATGACAAAAGTGATCATAAGGTGAATAAATTGCTTACTGTAATATGATGTTTTATGTAAAAAAAATTTGGATATTTTTGTATGAAAAATGATATGTAATCGAGTCGGACTAACGTTGTGTGTGTGTGGATGTATATGTATTCAACTTTAGTTTTGTGGATTTCTCACCAGTCCACCAGTTGAAAACTTGAGAAGCAAACAAGCTACCACAGATCCAAGTAATTGGGCAATCCAATACAGAATGGTTCTGAACAACGTTATGTGACCACCAATGAAGGCACCAAATGTGACGGCGGGGTTCACATGACCTCCTGAAATGTTAGCGCCAACAGAAACCGCCACGAATAGGGCAAAGGCATGAGCGAGTGATGCAGCAACCAGACCAGCCGGAGTTGTCGAGCCATCGTCAGTGAGCTTATCTGCCGAAACACCAATTGGTCAAAAAATTAATCCTTCGTTTGTAACTACTAAAAATTGTACATACGTTACATTTATAATATATCAAATGTTAGCTCTGTCTCGAGTCTTTTCTCATCAGCACCTCAAATGTATATGTATATATGCACGCACGTTTATTACGAATAAGTCTGAGTACTTACTGAAGGCCATGCCAGAACCTTCACCGGCGAAAACGAAAATGAGCATTGAGATGAACTCAGCTAGAGCGGCTTTGAGAGCGTCCGGCTGAGTAGCCTCGGCCGGGCTTCCGATGGCAATTCTTGAAATCGGCATTTTTCGAAATTAAATTTTCTTCAAGAAGCTTAGAAACAGTATTTGTAGCTCTACTTGCTAATTTTGCTTCTTATTCCAAGCTTAGTGAGTGAGAGAGTAATATATAGTGGTCTAAGTTAAAGGCTGAGGAACCGGAAATAACCGGTTGATATCCGGTAAGGGCTTTATTTAAACGGGTCTTTGTGGGAAGCCATTTGTCACTGTCTGAGGCGGGCCTCCGATTTGTTCTTCTGACGCCACGTGTCATGAGGAATGGATCTGGACCGTTCGATTGTGGAATGAAATAGATGGGGGATAATTCTGTTGTGGGTCCCAATCAATGATTGTCGACCGACCATCGGATTTGTTTATGGTGCGTGATGGAGATAAGCGGGGTTAGTTGTGCTGGTACCACTCTAAAACTATCAGCCCACGTAAGCATCTGATCTGGACGGTTTTTGTTTCGTTTGGGTTCGATGACATGTGTCACCAATAGAAAGAGAATATCCTCTTTTCCTGAAGGAATCTGTACATAGTTATACATATCAAGTTATTGCCATACCCGATTAATACTTTTACATATGTAAAACATTAGGGTAGAGTATGGTAATCTTTTGAGATTTGTCAAAAGAAAATTCAAAGAAAAATTTGTCTATTTTGGAACAATGATACCCCTGAAATTTGATACATTTATCAAAAACACACCGATGATAATAATTGACATTTTTACCCTCTGACTTTTATATTGACTAATTTAAACGTTGAAATGACCTTTCTAATATCATATACATAACAATATCTTTTATTCGCTCTCTCTATTTTCTCTTCCTCAGCCCCCAACACCAATACACATTATCACATATATACACACATACTGTCACACAAATGATGCATTCATACTTATTTAATAAATAATATATCAATTACTTGATATTTGTTTCAGTTAATAAATCTAATTACTTTGATGTGTTCTTTGAGCATAACCAAGTTTTAACTTTTGGCTATTTTATGGTTATTAAATTCTCCAAATAACTTGGTGGGTTGATTTGATGATGTAAGTTGTTTTGAAATTTTCATTGTTTTTATAGATGTAATTTCTGGCTTTGGTTTTAAATTTTCCATTGTTTATGTCCAATCCCTCATATCTGCAGTGGTTGTCAAATTCTGTGAGATTAGAAAAATTATATCTAAAAAATATGAATTTTGGTTGTTGGATGCATTAGGACATTTGTTATGATTTAGCCCTAGCAATATTTAGATACTCCACTTTCATTTTTTATGTGAGAGTGTGTATTTGTGTGACAGTATGTGTATATATGTGTGACAGCGTGTGTTGGTGTTGAGGCTGAGGAAGAGAAAATAGAGAGGAGAGAAGAAAAGAAATTGTTATGGATATGAGGTTAGAAAAGACATTTCAGCATTTAAATTAGTCAATATAAAAGTCAAAGGGTAAAAATGTCAATTTATTACCTTTGGGGTGTCTTTGTTAGATGTATCAAATTTCAGGGGGTGTCATTGTCCTAAAATAGAATTTTTCTCTGAGTATTTTTTTGACAAACCTCAAAGAGTGTTACTATATTTTATCAAAAACATTAATATTTTAGTGTATGGGACGGAGCCCCCACAACAATCTCGCGTTGGGGCTCCACGCAGTACATATTGTGTTTCGTTTATACACAAAAATGACATTATTTTAAACCACGAAATGATATATATGTACTCTCTACCAGAGGGGATTCAAGTCCATCACTAACGTGATTCTATAAATTTACCATACCTGAGTAGAGGCATATTACTGCCATATACACTGAATATGTGACATGTCATTAGCGTAACATGTTATCATCATTGAATTAATTTTTTTTTTTTTTTTAAACGAATAGTGAATACACAATTTTTAACGTTTTTGAAGCATAACGGTACTGGTAGGGATCCAAAAAATAAGTTCTTTGAGGTATTGCTTTTTTCGAATCGCATTCTGTGCGTATGTTATGGGACCGACACACGTATTTTAAGAAGAAAAAAAAAAAAATGCACAACTCTCAGGTTCTATAAAAACTTCTACACTTAACAAATATTAGTAAACTTCAACACAAGAAATCATTAAGCAAAATAATTTTTAAAACAATTTCTTAATTTATTTGATGAATATTCATATGATATAGTCAATTCATGTCACACAGTGACTCACACATTAACTTATATCAAATAGACAAAAATCGCACACCCTATCTACCATATCAAATGAAAAAAAATTTGTAAGTTACACACCTCAACTAGATAAAATGATCTAAATAGCATTAAGGTGAGAGTTTTTGTTTTTGGGTAAATCATTAAGGTGAGAGTTGTAACGGTGAGTTCCACAATATGGAGTTGTGGGCCCATTGAGTAAGTGATTCACATTGGGTGAAAAAGACCATGAAAGTTAAAAAGTAAGAAGTTGGCAGTATTTCATTCTTGTAACTTTTTTCTTTTTGACCTTTTTTTTTTCAAAAAAAAAAAAAATTATGATAATGACTAGACATTCGTCATTGTCTGTTGTTTACACTGTATGGACAGTCTATAATGCCTTTTTAATTAGATGGATTGTTAAAGAAACTAATTAAATTGAGTTGTTAAAATTGTAATAAAATATAGAGTTGGTAATGTGGGTTATATAATAGTAGACTTTAGTGTCAGATAATTATTTAAATACAAATGGATGTCGAATAATGATTCGATAGACCAGCCATTGAACTATATCAGCACTTTGCTTATTGTAATGATTAAATCATATAAACATAGTACAAAACGAGTTTATAACAATATATATATATATATATATATATATATATATATATATATCCACTCAGTAGGTATATCAAGTAAAATGATGCAGGAACATAATTGATCAAACAAAGTGGTTTTTGAAAGATTCTCTCTCTAGTTTATAATCTTATCTGTTAGTTAATTTATTTTGGACGGCTGAATTGGTTGTCTTTGAATAGTTCTGGAAAAGGTTTCTTTCTTCTCTCTGTTTTTTTCTTTTTTCTTTTTTCTTTTCTTTTTTTTTTTTCATTTTCCTTTTCAATCTTTTCTGTTTTTCAGATTTTTAAAAGAGGAATATGACTATTTAGGCCTATAAGATTAAGATTTTTTTAAGAGGAATGCGACTCATTATAGCCAATTTAGTATGACACCGAAATTGGACTACTCCACCAGAAATTTATATTACACACACACACACATATATATATATATGCAGCTTTTCTTAGTTTCTTAATAAATTAATGAATAAGATATTGTTGGAATTAATTTTGAAAATTATAAACTAGAAGTCTCCTAAATTCATGTAAATGTTTGATTCATGCATGTCTTTTGTGGAGTCTATAATATTCCTTTTAGTATAAATGAGTCATCCTCTAGAAGCATGCTATACAGGCCCAACTCGTCAATCCAAGAATTGGGCAGAAACTTGGACCCACGGAGTGGGTAAAGTGTGAGTACCATCACTCAATATTTGTAGATCTAGGCCCAATATATTTCATCCTCCTTTCTAGGCCCAATATTATCCATAAATAATCCTTCAGGTCAATGAGTTGGGCCAGCTTAGATTCAAGACCAGCTCAGGTTAAAGCCTTTTTTTTGTTTCAGAAGGTCCTGTAAATCACAAACTCTTATATATCTCTTGTTTAATTCTATGGACCCCTTATTTCAATATTCTACTATATGTTATAGTATACAGATATATTTAGTGCCTTCTGTGGACTTTGACTCTCTGTATATAATAATAATAATAATAAAAAAAATAATTATATTAAAAAAAAAAAAAAAAAGTATATATGGTTTCAATTTTGGAGTTGGTTCAATTTACGTGGACAATAAAACTAGACCCAAAACAACATGATCTATTATAAGTAAATACTGATATTATTTTAATTATTGAAACTTAGGACTTTATAGATTATTTTATTGGTTAGGATGATTTTCAGCATGTTATTATTACTTGCACTCAAAGTTCTATAACGTCTATAACTAGGTTATCATTGGAAAAAAAAAAATTAGAATTATTTTTTTATTTTGACAAACGAAGGTTTTTTTTTTTTTTTTTTTTTTGTTTTTTTATATACATTTTGTCTTGTAATGATGATGCTTTTTGAATTCATTCTAAATTTTCTTACAAGCCACAAATGTTGAATCTCCTAGAAGCGGAAAATTTTCTACTCCGTCACATGAGCATCATGTGTGTTGAATCACCTATAGGAGGAAAATTTTCGACACCAACACATGAGCCTCATGCGTATATATATGTACAAAAACATGTAAAATAATTATGATGAAAGATTTGTTGATGTATATTCTTGTCTTTGTGAATGAATTATGTGATCAAAGCGTGTAGTTTAGTGATACTTTTCTATTTTTCAAATGGTTTAGTGTGAAACGAGGATTGTATATATATATATATATATATATATATATATTGACACACAATCACACTCGTTATATAACCATATTGCATTTCCATGAATCTTCTTGCAAATTTTCTCAAAACAGGTTTGGTTGCATCCATAAAATCACGACTATTCAAACTTCCTAAATCAATTGTTGCTTGTGAAACTGTTTAAGTTACCCTACAATTGGGTCAGAAGTGAGACGTAGAGAGACTCGAAACTTCTATACAAATTGAATCATAACATCGATATCCTTTTTGTTCAATGCCTTGACCCAAAAACACAAAAATAGCAGCCTTTGTCATTCCAAACATCAAATTTTGGTCCGTCCAATAACCATCTGGTCAAATGTTCAAAACATCAACACACAAATTCCCTCTAGAAGAGGTAAGCTGCAGTTTTGCATTACCAGTTTCTAGGTCTAGCAACCATTAATAATGATGATACAGACAGCATTAAAATAGGAGAGGTGTTTAGGTCAATGCGGCTCTACTATAACCATCGAATCCCCTCCGGGAATGTCGCAGAAACGAAATAATATAATTATTGCATAAATAATACAAAATTATTGTATAAGTATTGTGAATTGTTGAATAAGAACACGATGATGAAATGACAGCCGGGAAGATGATATGATTCCATATGTGTATATATATACACGAATATATATTATCATGTACGTCTAAACTCAAACTA